TGGGGGTCTGGCAAATGTACTAGTGTGTCCTTTGGGGCATTGGTCGCTTTTGTCTGGTGATACTTGCTTAGATCTAAGCTGTTTGTTCGACGAACTTCTCTTGATTGCATGCGAGCGTGACCTTAGAGAGATATTAAGGAAGCAAAACTCATGACAAGTTGTTGAGTATCTCATTTTCCGGTTTTGCCGTACAATTTTTCATCGTATGTCTTTCACCTTTGTGTCGATCATAGGTCTGCTGCTCATGAAAGCTTGGATAGTCGTTGCCCCGATCTAGCTGCTCTGTGACATAACGGTTCCATCTAGATGTCACCCAATCAGGAAGCTTGACTAGTATTTTCTGATTCTCCTCACAGTCGTTAAGAACCTGTAAGCCCTTTACGTGAGGCATGGCATTACTACATGTTTGGAGGAAATCACTGAACTCTCTTAACTTGAGATATTCCTTTCCACCAATCTTCGGCCACCCATTTAGCTTATCTCTGAAAGCCCGCTGCACTACAAAGGAATGGCCATATCTAGCATTTAACCTATCCCATGCTTGTTGATAGGCTTCTTCATCTTTTCTGTAGAAGCTGCCTTCAAGAGAGGATTTTGCCTCACCTGCTATGTACTTTTGCAGGTAGAATAGCCTGTCTGCAGGGTCAGAGCATCGTCTCTCTATGAGGGCTTTGAAGCTTATGCTCCATTCTGTAAACTTCAGAGGATCGCCCGAGAATACAGAAGGTTCTGGAGTTGGCAAGCGAGTGAGAGCTAATGACTCTTGTAGCGATTGGACCAATGATGTCTCGTTTTGCACAACCTGCCGTTCTTGATCTGGGATGTGGTGAGCGAAGGGGTGTGCATCACTCACTTTGCTGAATGGAGGACTGCGTGTCCCATCCCTTCCCTCTTCTTCAGTGTAGACATTTAGCTTTGCCTGAATTACATCAATGTCCCTCTGATTTTCAAGTTTTCTCAACTGCTGACATTGAGACTTCTGATCAATTTGGCCACATCGAAGAAAGAATCTAGATATTTTGCGAGCTCTCTGTGCAGATCAGCGTGGCTAGGGTGCGCACGAAGCTATCAGATTCTAGCTGGACTGTCATTCTGGTTGATGGGGATGTCTGTAGAGATTCTGAGATTAGGGAATCTGTGTAAGAGATACAAGAGGTGCGCTGGGGAATAGCAGAAGTAATTCTGGGGCTGCAGGATCCATATTGCGACAAGAGACGAACTATATCGCATATCATGCAAGTAGCAAGTGCGTGCTAACGGGATGTTTAGCGTGCTGACAGCCTTGGTGGTCAAAGCATCACCACTTCATCTTGTTCAATACAAATACGTAGAACCTAGCTCAACTAATGTGGCCGCAAGTCGGCTGACCTGTTACACCATGTGGCGGCTGAGTCATCGCATGGTATGATTTTGCAATGTTACTCTTGACTTCGGTGAGCTCAGACTCTGAGAGAGATGCGAGTTTAGGGCAGAGATAAGCATCTGTGTTCCATATGAGCAGATTAAATCAGGATCTAGTCTTGATTCAGGGACTATAAGTAGATTCATGACAATGATTCATCAGATAATGTACATTAACACATGTGTACAGTCATTCAGAGCATACTTCATTTAAACACTTGATGGATATTCTTCTCTTACGTTGCTTTTGCCATTTCTCATTGATAGGTGTCGATGCTCCCAATTATGTATACCTTTCTTCGTCTTTGTGAGTTACTCTTGTAGTCTGTAAGTTCCTGCACTATTTTTGTTGGACTGTTAAGTGGGACGGCGATCGACAGGATCGGAGAGGAGTGTGATTCCTTGTTTGGTGTGTGCTCAAGAATTTCGAATGACGAGCAGTAAACTACCGTGTGTGGCTGAGCAGAGAGGCACTTTTTATGCCGTGCTGCTACAGAACTCTTTCGCAATGCTTAATCTTGTGATTCGTTGGACTATAGGAATTAGGTGACTTATTGTTGACTTGATATGGAGGCGTGCTGTAGTGGACGCATTTAATTTCAGTACGTTAAAGCGGGTACGGATTATATGACGCAGGCACTGATGATAACTAAGTGGAGGTAATTGTTGCCTAATGAGAATGTGTATGATGAGAATTGCGGGTGTGTACGAAATTGAATTAACTAAGACAAAGCGAACTTATGTGAGAATTGTTGATAGAAGGGATATGAGCAAAGTAAGTTTTAGGTTTGATCAGGTGCTATTGCGAATGGCGTGCGAGGTAACCGTTATTACTAGAGTTTACACAGATATTGAATTTTGAGATATTTGTCACCATGCAATATGGATACGATTGCATAATTTGTACTTTGGTTATGTAGTTATTTTATTTTTTGCTTTTTAATAGGTGTGACAGATTACATGTTTAAGACTATTATTTCTTGAATATGTTTTTGATCATACTTTTGCTTCCGCAGTCGGTGGCCGTGTATTTTGTAAGATCATTGTTGCATTCATCACCCCTAGATGTAGTGCATTAATATAACTTGTCGCAAAATTGCTGAGTGAGGGATCTTATTAGGTATTAAGTGGCCCTTTCGCCTGGCAGCTCTATCTGCTAGTGTTGTTCGGATCAGGGAACTCTTGCAAGTCTTCTAGTCGCCGATTGGATGTGTTCCCTAGCAGCAAGAATAGAAGAGAACGTTGATACGGTATTTTCCATTTAGAAGCTGTATGGTCTCTGGTCTTTGGCACGGAGTTGAGAAGACAACGACGGACATGTAGACCGGTCTGCGGTGAGTGTTAGAGGTAGGCTTATGGGCATCCAGTTCGTTGGCATGCATAGGTCCTTTCTCTGGGCGCAAGCCTGGAGTTTGCTGTAGGATGTGTACAATAGCGCGGTGCACGGTTGATCAAAGGGTGCGAGAGCCTGTTAGTTCTTGTTCTGGAGGATGAGAGGTAACATTGTGCGCCTTGAATAGTCTATGCAATGTTCGTTTTAACGGTGACACGTTTTAGAATTTTGTTTATAATAACTTGGGTTTAGATGATGAATACTATACGACTTAGTATATATTATGAGTAGGTTACAATTTTTTTTCTATCTAATTCACATCCTAGCTGTAGGCAGTCATGCTTTGGTTCAATTCTCGTGAAACTAGAAATTCAAGATAATAATTCATGTTATACAACTTATGTATAGTTCATACTAGCCATGTCTTATCCTATTTCTCATCTAGGTAGAGCTCGTATAAGTCTGAATACGATTAGATAATGCGTCGAGGTTGAGTTTTTTACCGCGGTGCGTACCATTTGTTTTTGATTTGTCTGTTGTATGCTGGTGTTGTTGTGTGTATTGCTTGTAAACTAATGATATGACAGTGACCCGTCGAAAGATTGTGTTTATTTAGAACGTAAAGTTTGACTAGTGCTTGATGCTCAGTATTGGGCTGAGTTCCTCCGATCATTCCCTGAATGCGCATCTTACTTTCGCGAATATCAAGCTGGGAACTGCAGAGGAATGTTTGACTATTCACAATACATCATGCTTAACAGATATGATGTTCCTTCCTAGAGTGATATATCACTGGCTTCATATATTTTTCGTACGCTTTGAGTTGGAATTCATCACAGCGCAGCATGCAGGAGGAAGCGAACATAGTGAAGCTGAGGATCTAAATCAGCAGATCGGTATAGACATAATTAAGATTTCACTTTTGGTAAGGTTGGGTCTAGAGGTGATCTGGTCTCCAAAAAAGTTAAAACTGTGTCTTAGTCGTAGCTGACTGCTGTGGGTAAAGATATTCTATGCTTTTGTGTATAATGAGTTATTTGTTTTTGATTAAGTTGATGGAAATTCATAAGTGTATATTTCTGGATTGGTTACGGTCTATCTGAGGGTTTTTGACTTGATTGGTCCTTTAAAACCAATTCAAATCGATTGCGACATTATGATGACATATTCTGTACAGTCTGGATGTTTTTAAAAAGAGTGTGTGAATTTTCAACATGTTATCAGTCTCATTTCTCCAGGGTAACTTTAGTGTTAGCAACTGTTTGCACACTTGTGCATGGATGGTACATCATCTGAAGTAGTAATATGTGAACATTAGTTATTTTTGTCAATATCATTATTAAACAGGATCTGTCGATTACTACTGAGTAAGTTGGTGAATAAACGAATCTTGTGTATAGTTATAAATTATCTATTTCCCCAATTGATATAATAACAAACTATTATTGGTTATAATCTATGTATGTGAACGATACTTATGCTCGATCCTCTTTACACTGTAGTATTTTTTTTTATGTGATGTTTAGGTATATGATTGTTTGTTTGTACTTATTCCTGTTGGGCTCTATTGTATTTCTCTGTGTTGTGTCAATTATACTACGTAAGCAATGAGGTAAGTTATATGCTTATTGAGGTGAATTAATGCGAAAAGAGGCTAGTATATGCAGAGATGTCAGTGGAATTATACGTAAGAGCATTATGTGTTGAGACCTGCTCGGGTATGCGATAATGTAAGTGAATGCGAGAACATTCATTTTATTATTTTCATTTACCAAGGTATCAATGTTTTGATCACTGGATTTTTATTAGAGGACTTTACAGTATAGTAATGGGCCAAGATGTATGTGAGTTTTTGGTTATATGCAGTTTGTTCGCCACTTTAGGTAGTGTTATCATTTATGCTTCCCAGTGGTTTAGCACTGTGATAACGTGAAAGGTGTGATATATCTAATTTCGTTAACCACTTATATCCCAAAAAGTATTCTTTTTCAATGGGTGAAAGGTGATGAAACATTTCGCCCACTGAAAACGCCATGTCCAGGCGAACAGAATCAACTTTTCTGGATTTCATTACCTGGATGATTGAGTATGAGTCAAGACATAACCACTAATGTGATTAAACTATATACAAAGTATAAAAAAAGACAGCAGTTCCCAGAGATGTTCTTATTTTTTTCACAGACATTGTTAAAGTTTGCAAAATAGAGAAAACGAGTTTACAAAAAATGTACCACATAATCAGTGTGTTTTGATCTGTTTTCTTTCTACATATCTGACAGACATTTAACATATACAGAATATTAATAACATAATTTTCTTATTTTGTCTCCATTATATAAAAAAGGTTTTTCCCCTCGTTGCTCGCTATGCAGAACGACTTGTTGCAAAACTTGAGGAAATGAATTTGGATGAACCCATCACTGTCAAACAGTATGTTGTTAATCAGAAATATGCAAACATATTAAATTGTTCATCCTAAAATAAATAATGCACTGATCACTTGTCTTTTCCAACTCTAATAGGTTTGTGGCTCCTTACAGTTTAGACACTGTGACCAGTGCTTCTTTCAGTGTGGAGACAGACTCCATAAACAATCAGAATGATCCAGTTAATGTTCAAGCGCAGAAGCTCCTTAAATTAAAAATGTGGCTTTTGTTATTCATAAGTATGTCCTTCTTTTGACTTTTAAAGACTCATTCAATGATTTGTTTTCAGAAAGCAAACTCAATAGTATCTGCAGGATGTCAAATTTTGCTTACCGGTATTCGGTCTGGTCTCCTTTCAGTGGCAGTTCCGTTTGGTAGACGTCTGGCAAAGTTCCTGAACATGGAAATCATACCCAAGGACAGTGTTGACTTTTTCTACAACCTCCTCAAGAAATTTAAAAACCAGCATCATGAAGACAAATCTGTAAGTATTAAATTTATAAAGGAACATCAACATTGTTGTGTCCATACACGTCCTGTTGTCTTTTTGATGTTTCTATCTTGATTATTTTAAAGCCAGAAGCAGCTTTTGGGATACTGCATGTTCACTGGCAACCTGTCATTCACATAGTAGAGCATGCTTTATCCTCCTTTACAACTATATTGGGGACCATAATTTAAAAAGTAAACCTATTGTTGATTGAAAAGGACATGAAACTAGTCACAGAGGCCATCAGCTCATCACAAATGTTTACAGACATGAGAGACAAAGCTAGATGTATAGGTTTTCCACATACATCTAGCTTTGAAACCACAGGACTCGCTCCCTGTAAGCTACGGGAAAATAATTTAGGGCAAACCCTGAAATCATTTGCCATCTTTTATATACAGTCTATGCACACCGCAAACATTATTGATAATTTTCTTCTGCTGTTGACTCTCAATCATCACATGTGAGCACATTTGAATATTGTCTTTTCTGATGTAGGCTCGAGCAGACTTCCTGCAGGTGTTGATCCAGAGTGAGATCCCAGAAAAGACGTATAAGAACGATGAAGAACAGCCAAGTAAAGGTATGTGTTTACCACAGAAGTAAGCTGAAAGAAGCTAGATTTTACCACTGCCTTAATCTAATTGTCAAACTTCAGATCACAGTCCACTTTGACCCTCAGGTTTGTGACAGCTGGTTTAACACACTTGGCCAAGGTATCTAAATACACATTGGGGGTCTCAGTGGGGGTACCAAAAACCATCACCTCTGTCTTTTTATCATTGAATTTTAAAAAGTTAAGAGACATCCGAGCCTTAATGTCATCAAGACACTGAAGTTATGGCTGTGTGGAGTATGTGCCTTTTTCTTTAGAGGGACATAGATCTGACAGTCATCAGCATAAAAGTGGAAAGCAATGCCGTGCTTTCTCAGTACAGAACCAAGAGGAAGCAGATATAAAGAGAAGAGGAGGTGGCCTAGAACTGAGCCCTGAGTTTGGTGGTGCTCCCTGTAAAGTTGACCCCCATCTCCCGACCGAGGACGATGGGGTGTGGAACTGTCAGCATCCGACTACTACCTTTCTATTATATGACTTTTGGTTCTTGGCTAGTCAAGGGTGCTAGTGTGGCTGATAGACGCACTTCAAAGGGCGAGTGGAGAAGATCGTAAGTTATTGTTGGTGATATATGTGATTGTTTGCTACTCTTAAGATCAATTGTATAATAGGTTCTGTTTCTCATATTGTGTTTTGACGTGAACGAGGTTCTGAGATTTTAATTTCCCAGGGTTCTTTGTCGGTTATCTTTGGAGGCTACGGAGACCACCAGTAGTCACTTTCTATCGATGAGAATCCAGTTTGTATATTTATTGGCCATCGCGATCTGGGATGGTTGAGGGACTTTAGCACGTAGAGGAAATTGAAAGCTAAGTGTTGCTGAAGGATGAGTGTACGGTAATGTTTGGGTTCATGCATAGTATTTTGTTGGCGTGATTTTTAATGCGTTGATTGCGATGTTGGACTAGCTGAATTGTGCTATTATAATGGTCTAATTTTATGTTTGCTTCGTTCTTTTATTTTTGGCTCTTTAGGTAGGATAGATGTCATATATATATGAGAGCTGACCGGTTCTACATCAGTTAACTATGTGGGCGCAGGTATAGTTACTTGGAATGTAGAATCTGTGACATGGATTTTCGCAATTCCGCTCTCGATGTTATTGTGTTTGTGATGCGATTGAACTACTGTGACATTTGTGGACTGGACTCACCAATCGATCTGTGATAGAGTACCACAATTGGGGAATCTCTCGCGTGGTGGTTGTTGCCCAGATGGAAGACATCACGCATCACTGGTGTGTTTGCCGCGCATGAGGGGTTCTTCAAGCTAGGAGAGTCAAGGATGTTGGTAGGGTTGGATCAAGACAAGTATGACTCAGAAGTCGTCCTTGATGGTCATCCTTGTTAATTTACTTGAGGTCGAGGGTACTGTGTATATTGGGTTTATGTATGCTTTTTTTATGTTGTCTGTTTATTTTTGGTAGTTAATGAGTGGGTTTGTTCAATAACTGGTATGGTTGCCTTCTTGGAGGGTGATGTAAGGTTCATTGATGGGAGTGATTTGCAATATTGAGTAGTACATGTAGCAGAATACAGCATACCGCCGCTCAACATATTTTATCGTTGTTTCAGTGTTGTTGCAGCGGTTTCATGGTTGAATCATTGTTATTAGTTCTTGTCGAATGCATGTGGTTCCTAGAGACAAGAGTGCCCATAGGGGTCTGGTTGGAGAATGCGTTTCTTTCATTCTTTGCCTTTTTAATCTGTAAGTGTGCGGCCCGCTGTAATGGACTTTGGTCTGGATTATTTAGGTTTTTTTCTGTCGTACTGGTGGAGTGAGGGCCTTCGTGGCAATGGGTCCTGAGTTTTGGGCGGAGGAACATGAGAGCTGTTTGAGAATGTTAGTTAGAAGTAGTTTGGTTTGCCGGATGTCTTATGCCCCGTACTTTATACGTTGGTAGGTCTACGAGTCCGGTACAAGGAAATCATGGCTCAATCTAATGGTAGGTGTGTCTTGATTATACATATCTACAAGTTTGTTTGATCTGTATCTGCAGGTTCAGTAAAGACAACATGGAGGAGGTGAACACATACGCGTACATGCCATTTGGACTCGGCCCTCGTAACTGCGTTGGGATGCGCTACGCCCTCCTCGTCATGAAGATGGTTATTGTCCATCTCTTGCAGAAGTACACTTTGGAAACATGCAAAGAGACAATGGTAAGAGCAGCAAACCTCCACATTCAGACTGTCATGGTACTCTGCTGTCCTGTCACTGATGTTACATCCATTTCTTTTCTTCTTCTTTTTTAGATTCCACTTCAGTTTGACTGGAAGTTTCAGCCAGTTCAGCCTATAAAACTCAAGTTTGTTCCCAGAAATAAGTAGTCTAAGAGGGAACATCTCCAAATCTGATCAAACATGTTATTTTATGATTTTGCTTTAATGTGAGGGAACTGCTGCCAGGATGACATTGACCATGTAATTTCTTTTTTCAGCTGCTTTGTGATGAATCAAATGTATTTTAATTCATTTTTTATTGTGTTGAATGTTTAATCTGAGTTTTCTTAAATGTACACAAATAATAATGAAGAAATAAAGTGGCATAAAAACAAAATGAAGTTAGAGTTATCTTTTGTAATTAAATTTTTATACCTTAAACTTGGCGACATGAATACAGCACAATAATTGAGTTGACTGATGTTGTTGTCTGAAAACCACCTGAAGCTATGAAGTATACAGGTGAGCTCAACATTGTGGTGTTCTTGGATGTGTTTGGGTGCATGTGTGTTTGCATTATAAAGTTTCCTTTGTAAGACCCATCAGATACACACTTTTTATAAAAGATGTATTACACAATCAGTCATCGGTGCCAATAGTATCTAGGGGAAGAGCCAGCAGGTGACCTGATTATCACAACCTTTTAAGGAAATATTGCAGTAGGTTGTAACTAAATAAACTGTGACCTAGAAAGCATCTACTTTTAAATGGAGCTACTAACACCAGGTTGATTTACCCGCCCCAATGAGAAATTATCAGCAGTAAAGGTGAGACAGTGAGCATAGACACATGGCATACATGGCATAGAGCCTGCAGACGCTACATGATGGGTTAAAGTGTAACTGACAGTAATATAAGAAGATAATCTGAAGTGGTTGCTCCTGTGTTTATATCAGTGTGCAGGACACTGAAATAGGAGTGGTGTGTGAGCATTACTTAAATACGATGTGAATGTTAGATACATAGGGACAGTCAAAAGAGTTTTTGTTATTGATATGTTAAGAGCGTGCGTGTCACGGGTGTGATAATCGAGGTGGAATACTTGTTCGCACTTTTAACTGGAGGTTATTGTGGCGAGCAGTGATTATTTATAGACAAGAATCAGTTGTCGTAGCTATTCTCTGTTTTCATAGTTGATTGCATGTACGTGTGTGTGTGCGTGTGTATGTGTGTGTGTGTGTGTGTGTGTGTGGTGTGTATGTATGTGATGTGTGTGTTTGTGTGTTGTTTTGTGTGTGTGTGTGTGTGTGTGTGTGTGTGTGTTTGTT